AACTGATGAAAGCTCTAATTCAACAGCCTTCACAATCAACATCAGGAGTTACAAATTGACGACTCTCATATTATCAATAGCTAAATGTAAGAATTACAATCTGACGATCCTCACAAAAGTTTGAAAAAAAAGAGATTATAATTGACAATCTCTTCAACACGAAGGTCGCGTTTGACCATTTCAAATCCTTGAAACGGTCCTCCACTTAATAGGGTAATTAACCTCCATTATGGAGCTAATTAAGGGGGTAGTTATACCCCATAAACCCCTATAAATAGGGAGTTTTCACAGCAAAATAGGGCTGGTGGCAAAGGGCTGGACGAAAAATAAAAGAAAGAGAGAACAAGAGAGGAGAAGAAAAGTCACATTTGCGCAGTTGTGATCGGCGTGACGATCGGACCCTCATCTGTGGTCCGATCGATATGAAATTTGGAGGGTATCTACTACACTCGTCTTTCCTAATTCTGAACGGTGGAGATTGCTTTCTATCGGTTAGATTTGGAGATATGGAGATTGCTTTCTATCCGAAGCTAATCGTTCCAGGAGTGCAGAGAAAAGTCACTTTTGCACAGCAGTGATCGGCGTGATGATCGAACCCTCATCCGTGGTCCGATCGACGTGAAACTTGGAGGGTAGCTACTACGCTCATTGTTACTAATTCTGAATGGTGGATCTTGGTTTCTATTGGTTAGATTTGAAGATATGGAGGTTTTACCGAACCTATAGAGGACTGGCGGTACTTTTTTGAGATCAGCCAAAGAGAGAAAGAGATCAGCTACCATTTTGAAATGATTGAACTTGCTTTGTTATCATCAACTCTTTTTAGAGTTTTCCTAACTCGATCAGAGTTTTAAAACTTGCTTAGCAAGTTCTTCTGATTAACAACTGATCAATCATTCTTGGCTAAAAGGATTATTAATCCTTTCTGAAATTAACTCTTTCAAAAGAGTTTCTTAACTCGGCTAGAGTTCCAAACTTATTCAAACAAGTTCTCTTCAATGTCCTACAGGGCTGGAATTTTGGGGGAGATCAAACCACTAGTGGTTGAAGATTTGGAGATCGCTTACCAAGTTCTTTTCAACTCTTCCAAAGAGTTTCTTAACTCGGCTAGAGTTTCAAACTTATTCAAACAAGTTCTCTTCAATGTCCTACGGGGATGGAATTTTTGGGGGAGATCAAACCACCAAGGGTTGAAGATTTGGAGATCGAAAACCGCATAAGGTTGGATCTTCTGGAGATCAAGGTCAAACCCTTGGGAGATCGAAGATTTCAGTCAGATTTCGAAGATCAAATCTCGAAGAATCCTTCAACAACAGAAAATCTACTTGGCTATTAACCGAATTTTCGGTTCTAACAACTCTGTTACAGAGTTTTAACTCGCTTTGAGTTCTTAAACTCGTTAAGAGTTCTTAATTAAACTTGCAACGCGAGTTAATTACACCAATCGATTATTCGGTTCTCAACAACTCTTTTCAGAGTTTTCAACTCATTCTGAGTTCTTAAACTCGCTAAAAGTTCTAAATCAAACTTGTCATACAAGTTAATCGTTCCCGTGAGACAAGACGATCAGATCGTTAATGAAGAGCAAATTCGACGCAAGCATTCGAAGGAGGCACTCCATCGCTATCAAGAAGAACCCAGTTTTAAACAAAGGGGAGAATCAAATTTATTCTCCTCTCTTTTGTAATCAGAAAATCTAATTGTAACTGAGATTAAAGGAATACAAATCAATTTTTTTTCATTTCTTTTACTGACTACAAATTTTTCCACAAACATTAACTAACACCCTTATCATGTTAACTATTAACAGATAGTTATATGTAAATTGTTAACTATTAATCATTATCTGTTAACTATTATACGTAACATGTTAATTATAATACGTAACATGTTAACTTTAATTGGTAAATTGATAACTATATTCAGTAAACTGTTAACTATAATCCATTATATTTTAACTGTTATTTGTAATCTATTAACTGTTATTTATATATAATAGTTAACATGTTAACTATAATAGTTATCAGTTTATATATTATAGTTAACATCTTAACTATAATAGTTAACTTGTTAACTTCAATAGTTAACATGTTAACTACCCTTTTTCCTCGACGCCCCTAACAAACTCTAGGGGCCGCTATAAAACCCCCCGATGGCAATGGCGACTGGCGTTGCAACCGTTGCTCTCTCCTCCACCCTTTGCTTCGTGAGGTTTGCAGAGCCGACATGTCCTTTTTTTCTCGTCGATTTTGCTTTGGTGGGAGGGTTTTAATGGCGAGGAGGTTTACTGTGCAGGCAACGCTCGGCCTCACGAAGCCCTCCGTTGTTGAAACCCCTCATGTTTGTTTCATTATTGTCGTTGGCTTGCTGACGAGTCTTCGTCAAGTTAGGTTTTTGGCGTGTGGATTACCTGTTTGATGACATTTCTGAGAGATGGTTTAGTTAATTCATTTTGCATTTTTAGAAGTTCCTAAGCTTAGGATTATCTTCAGTATTATTGTATATTATTGAGTTTGTTTGATTGAATGTGAAAGATTTTATACCATATGTTTGTAGAAATATCTGACAAACTGTTGATATTTATCGTTAAAATTGTTTATTTTTATGATGAATAATGCAAACATTTATCAGATGACAAGTTTATGATAAAAATCCCACCATTTGGATATTTCAAAGGCTTATTTAGGTAGGGTTTTTCACTCAAAACTGTATTAGTATTTGATATAGGGACTGAGAATGTGCGCCTGATTTGTTTCAGCCCGAGAATTGGAGGAAGTTCGTAACATGTTATCCATAGCACGTAACATGTTAACGATAATAGTTAACATGTTACCTGTTGTAGTTAACATGATAACTGTTGTAGTTAACGTGTTAGGAAAAACATGAGATGGAGTCATGAGTTGAAGTCATGATGGAGGGGTAAAATTGGATTTTTTGGTAAAAAATATAAAAAATTGGGAAAACATGACATGGAGTCATGATGGAGAGGCTGGTGCAAACTTTTTTCAAATTTTGGTGGCTGCAGCACATTGGTAAAAATAGGGGGGCTGGGGCACGTTGATTTTTGGATTTTGGGGCCTTGAAGTAATTTTTCCTTATTTTGGAAAATATGATTTTAAATATTCAGTGAAAGTCAACAAATGCAAAGATTTTGTAAATGTTCGTGAACCATGATGACGTCCGATTTGATCCAAAATTTCTCAAAGAAACTGATGACTCATCTTGAAATTAAAATTTTCCACATGCGCATTGACCCGAAATCCTCACCGTAAATGGCTCCCACACTCCATCAGCACGCTGACATTCAAAAAAGAGCACATGTAATCTGTCCCTTCTGAACCCCATTCCTTAATTGGTTCCCACCAATAATACCCTCAAAATTTAAAATAATACTTAATAAATTTTGTCTTATTAGTAAAAACCCCATTTCTTAAAAAGTTCAACAGGAACATCATTCAAATATTCAGAGAGCACTAAATTATTCGAAAATGCTAACAGAAAAGTAAAGGGAGGAAAGACTCTGTTTCCATTCATGCTTCTCTTTGTGTTGAAGCCAAGAAAGAGAGATCACAAATATATTCGATTCGATTTCTCTTTTTGTCAGTGGGTTTCCTTTTGTTTTACTCCTCATTCGATCGCCCTCTGTATTTTTACCTCCACCTATTGCTTTCAACTTTCTTACATCTTTTGACCTTGAGAGAGGGAACATCTCGGGAAAGAAAATAGCTTCGAATCGGTTCAAAAATAGTAAGTATCGATCCATTTTTTAATGAATATTTATCGAATTTTTGATACATAGGCTTGTTTTCTGATATGGGTTTGGCTTTTTTTAATTAAAAAAATGTTCTTGATGGAGTAATTGTTTGGTAGAAAAGTATTTTGGGAGTTTTTTCTTTAAAAATAGAAATTTCTTGTTTTTTCTATATGGGTTTTTGTTATTTAAGGGTTTTTGTTTCAATTTTCTCCATAAAAAGAGAGGATTCTTTTGAATTTTAATTCTATAGTTTTTATTGATACTTTAGATTGTTGGAAGGTAAAAGACATTACCTTGGCTATGAAGCTAATGAGAATACAAGTTGCTCAAAACATAATCTTTTATTTCCAGCTGAGCCTTACTTTCTACCAAGTTGTAAAAAATTGTTTAGTTTACAAATTTAGAGTTTTTCATGATTCTAGGTGGAAAATCAATTTACATTTTTTTTTTGGTTATGTTGAAAGTGTATCCTAGAGTAAAGGTGAGACAGCAGGAAGAGCCACCATTGATACAAAAAGAGGAGGATATAGTGAGGGTTATAGAAGCTATTTCCTTAAAGAGCCATTCTCCAAGAATCAGAGTCTCCACGCTTGGTAAAATTATCTTTACTTGGCTTGTATAATATATTATTCATTGAGTTCCACATAGGCTGAAATTTGTGAAGTTTGATGTCTTCTTGCTTATTGGCATTAGCATTTCACTTTCTTGTTGCTCCAACTGAGATTAAATGTTCTAGAGTAATTCGATGTAGTCTTATGCATATCGAGGATGTCACGTTAGTATTTCAATATGATTGAAGTGTTGTTGAGCCTTTATTATATTCTTTGACAAGTTAGATTGAAAAGTTTGATGAACTACTAATGTCATATAGCACGCACAAGGACTAGGACACGGATACGAGTTTGATGATTTCTAGTCTTATGCTTTGGAGGTTATATCACCTTCTTATTTTGACAGTTTGAATTATCTATGAGCCTTCGAAATATATTTTGATAAGGTAGAGCGAAAGGTGAAATAAACAACTTGTTTGATATAAAGTGCATAAGAGTATATCACATGAAAATAGAAACACTGACATGAATTGGATTATGAACGCATACTATACATGCATGTCCGACATGATAGGCTTTAGAACAGAGTTCCCTTGCTATGTAGCGATAAGTAGAGTTGCTGTTGTGCGCAGCGAAAATTTCGGCAGCACTTCGACAGCCAACAAGAGAGTAGATCTCAACAAAATCCCTGTTTCACAAAGGAAACAAGAACCGAAAGCAAAATATCTCAACAAAGTGAAATATCAGCTCTTCCTCTCATCAGTTCTAGGACTGACCTGTCGAGGGAACCTACAAGCTATTACAAATCACGACAAGAACACAAATTTAACGTGGTTCGGCAAATTGCCTACGTCCACGGGGCAAGGAGGGGGGAGATCTACTATTAGAGGGAGAGAATACAAATGGATTTATAATCACTCAATCTAAACCCTCACACAAACTCTCAGATCTCTCATACAAATATCTCTCTCAAATAAAGATGCACAAACCAAAGAGCAGCCACCAAAACCCAAAGCCACAGTTTTCTTCCTGCCTGCGGTTTTCTCCTGCAGCTGCACACCACAAATCCTTGCACACCTCTGACTACGCTTGCTCTTCCGCAGTCGCCAAATTAATCCTCTGCCTTGCTATCTCGAATACCTAGAAAACTAGGTATTTATAGCTATATGCGGATGACCTTTGAAACCCGCTCGTACCCGAACGAAATCGTACCCGAACGAAATAAAAAACGCGTATACACATGGGTGTGGCCCCCACGTGAACAATTCTCTTCACGCGGAAACGAAACGAGTGCGTTCACACAACGCGTTCACAAATAACGTGCCCCCCCCCCACATCACGTGTTCACAGTTGCCAAATCTTGAAACATCAAAATAAAAAATATTTATTGACATGTGCTTGAGTTCACATATCCAATAACACTGCAGCTTATAACTTTAGTGCAACAGCTTAATGCTTTAGTGCAATCTTGAGAAAAGCAGACAGAATAAAGTGTATGATAAGGCTTTATACTGTTATAAACAAAGCTTGAAGTTGAAATAGAAGTTGGTTCCATTTAGCACCATAGCCTAAATTTTGAAGTAAAATTCAGATATTGGTGCTGAAGTTCAAATCCTGCAGAATTATCGTTTGATGACAATCTTTTAGTGCTTTACTGAATTTATATTCTTACATATTTACTCCAAAGCCTTACTGTTAACATTCAAAATATCTGCAAGTACATGTCTTGTTAATGTCCTCAACATCGGTTCTCTCAGGAAACAGGGGTGATTATGATTCTAATCCACCGCATGCAAAGTCAAAACCGAAGGTTCAATTAACACCTTTTGTTGCTGCACCAAAAGGTGCAAGTTTAAACTAAGGCCTCTGAATTTTGCATACATTTCAAGAATGCTAACTCGCATATTAAGAATAAGCTTGAATGACAGGAAAGCAGAACAACACACCAAATGAGGACAACAAAACCAACAACAATGGATTCAGAAAGGACAACAAGTGCCAAAGTGATTTTCATTTGACATATCCAAGGATTCATGAGTCTCATCCCAAGGATTCGTTAACACCCTCCCCTGTTCAGTCGAAAGGTGGCCTGCTTTTAAAGTGCTCCATTTCAGAGATTATTTCTCCCATTTTTGATAATATTTGATGATTTGCTTATATTTGTGTTTGGATGACAGGAACTAACGATGATAGATTGGATGAGGATAACAAGACCAACATTAGAGCCAGTTCAGTTCCTATGCCTCGGGCTGTCTTGTCTAGCCCAGGTAGTGATTTCGTGTAAATATCAATTTGCCGTTCTTTTGTGCACTTAATCATACTTGTTATTGAGATTAACTTGAATAGCTTTAGTCTTGTTGTGAGATTTCTTGGCTTTCTGTCAATGTAAACTTCAGTTTTTTTTTATTACTAGTTGCACAACATATGCGGATATTGTAGGAAAAGGTGCATATCATTTATCAATCGTCTTTATGCTTATGGATTTTACCCTGTTAAATTTGTTGAAAGCCAAATGAAATGTGATAAACAAGATTTTCAACGTAGAGTTTTTCTGGATCTGTATAGTTAGAATTTTTTTCCTCTCTCCATTTTCAAGCTTAATGACTTGCATTTGACATGAGATTTGTCCACATTACTTTTTGTTTGTGTGTGCACATTTGTGCATGTACTTGAGGTAAACGAATTACTGCAGTACTAATTTATGATTATTGCCTCTACACTTTCAGATAATGATGAACTAATCGGTAGCCAAAACCAATCAATTCGAGAGAAACAAACACCTCTTAGAAGACAAACATTGAGTATATATCATTAACCATTTCTTCTCATTTTCCCGATATGCATTTGTTTAGTTGCCTATTCTTATTTGTTTTTCTTGTTTTTTAAGAGAGCAATGATATAACCAGTCAACAGAGTCAACTTTCCAGAGAGAAGATAACACTAACCAAGAGGCCGGCATCAAGTCCAAAAACAGAAGGTCAAACCAAGATTGAAAATACTCATAGCACGAGAAAGAGCTGCACTGAGAAGGGAAAGGGTTCTTCGCTATCAACACCGAAGCAGAGACCTCCTTTTAAAGTAGGATTTTCACGACCAAATATCTTGTAATCTGAGTTACCATCTCTTGTCATCTAACGTTTTGTTTGTCTTATTTCTACTAGTTATTGAAGTTTGATGGAAGTTTGTTTGTGAGAGATGACAAGTTGTATTGATTGTGAGGTGTTTCTCTTTGACATAAATGTAGACTTCTCAAAAAAGATATCAATCCTGAATCTGTTTGGACAGGAGAAGGCAGATGTAATATATACTGGCAAGAGGCTATTTATTATCTAGTGCTTGCTATCTTTTTGTTGAGTTGCAGTGTGATGTTCCCTTGTATTGCCCAACAAATATCACTTGTTGATTACGCAACATAAAGCGTTGGCGCCCAAAAGATTTGTAGCATAATGATTTTGATTGGCTAAGTTCTGACTTTACACTGTATCACTACTATAATGCTATGTTTGGGAGTTCACTTATGTAGGGTAGAGAGGGGGAGGGGAAGAGAAAATTATTTTTCACATTGTTTGGGAGTTTTCTTAAGGGGGTAGAGAGGGGTGAGGAAGGGGAAAGGAAAGGGGGAGGAAGGAAAAATGGAGGGGAAATTGTTCCCTCCCCCCACCCAATTCGGGCGGTAGAGGAGGGGAACGGAACTGGGAAAACTCACAGCAATTTGATATGTCGATATTGCCCTTCATCAACAAAATAAATCAAGGTTTATGATGTAAACCCTACTCTCCCATCTCTTTTCCATTTTCTACAGCCATCTTCGCGCGCTCTCCCCCGCGCCCCCCTGGGCTCACCCCCCGCGCCGTTGTCTTCTTCACCTCGTCGGAGTTCTCTACTCGATTCCTATCGCTGACATCCTCCTTCAAGTAAGCAGCCATCCCTCTCTCTTTCTTCTCAGTTTCTGATTTTTTTATTCAAAGTTGCAATTTTTTCTGGAAAATTAGGATCAGTCCTTTTTGAGGGAGTTAGGGTTTTTCACAAACCTGAGCTGTTGCTTATCTAATTGACCAAACGTTCTTAAAAATAAAAGAACGGTAACGTTCTTAAAAATAAATGAACAGTAACTATATTTATATATATACTCTCCCAGGAACAACTTTCCGAAATTACCCCTTCCCTTTTTCTTCTCCTCCTCCTCCTCCTCTTCCCTCTCTCTTCTTCTTCTCTAGACCCTGGCCCACACCGCCACCCCTCCTCCCTCCCCCCTCCTTGGGCCCCGTCCCCGACCTCCTCTGCCTCCTCTGTCTCAAGGTCTTCTACTGGGCCGGCCACTAACACTCTCACTCCTACCATCGCATCTGCTCTGAAACCTCTCCCTCTTTCAGATCCGTAAGGGACTTTGAAGGAGGTTCTCTCTCTTCTTCTTCATCTTCTTCTTCTTGGTTCTTAATTTTGAATTGAAAGGGAAATGATGTTCGATCTGAGGCAATGGTTGCTACTTTTCTCACTCTGTCAATGTCCACTATGCTTGGGAATATGATTAAGCAGCTTCACTTTGATTCATATGAGGTACGATCTTTATTAATTGAGCTTGAGTTGGAGTTTTTGAATTTGATTGAGTTTTTAGGTTTATTGTATTGGATTTTGGACTTCCATGTTTGTTTTGTGATTAAATTGAGTGTTTTGATGTTGAATTATGTCAACGTGTTGAGGATTTAATGTGGATCTGTTCTTAGTCTTGATTTTTTGCAAGCAGATGTCTGGTGAGTTTTCTTGCACACAAGGTGTTTGATATAATGCATTGGTGAGAAGAAATGGTTTTATTGGAGAGAATGGCTCAATCTCAGGCGTGGGTTATAATTTGATGGAATTAAGCAAGATTTGAGACTGATGAAAAAATATCTATGCAGGTGAAAACCCAGAGATGATTAGTTGTTCAGGATAATGGTTTTGATTTGGCTTAGTGGGTGCATTCTGTGGTGAGAGAGAAATGGACAGTTAAAGTTTTTGATAAGAGAATGCTCTCTGAAGGAGTGCCTGAAGATAGAATGTTGAAGCTTCTTCTGATTGCATTGAAGTGCATATACAAATCTGCTGATGCTCGACCAACTATGAGCCAAGTTGCTGGCATGATACATTCATTGAAGGAAGAAGAGGATATGTTTGTTGTGTCTGAAATTGATTCAAGAGATGCTTAAAATTGGGGAGTCTGTTTTCATAATGTCCTGGAATTTATGTATATATTTTATTTGACTATTATTATTTGCTAGTGTATATGTGTTGGTCACATATGATGAGGTGGAAAAACATTGTTTATTTGTTACACTGATCAAGTGCTTTGGAGAGATGATGAAGTAGAAGGTCTAGACTGAAAATTGCATTGATGTGTTGTCGGTTGTTGTGATCTTATGTTCTTGGATTCAAAGCTTTTAGTTGTATGTAAAATTGCATTGATGTGTTGTCGGTTGTTGTGATCTTATGTTCTTGGATTCAAAGCTTTTAGTTGTATGTATATATTATATTGAGAGTTATTGGCTGTTGTGATCTTATGTTCTTGGATTCAAAGCTTTTAGTTGTATGTATATATTATATTGAGAGTTATTGGCTAAATACCATGATGTGTTGTCAATTGTTGTAGAAATTATGTTTTTGGATTCAAGATTATTGAGTTCTTGTATATCTTTGGCAGAAAAACTTTTGGTAGAGCAATGTAGATTGTCAAGACTTTTGTAGCACATTGTATTATATTTTTGTAATATCTAATATTGTAAATCTAATCATATCGTGTATTCAAGCAATATCAGCTGTAAGAATGTAAGAATTTTATTATGATGAACGTTAACATGTTTAGTTGAGAGTTAAATTGTTATGATAAACGTTAACATATGCAGTTAAAAGTTAACATATTATGGTGAAAGTTAACATATAATAGTGAATGTTAACTTATTATGATGAAAGTTAACGTGTTCAGCTTATAGTTAACATGTTATAAAGAAAATTAACATATTATTATGAATGTTAGCATATAAACCTAAATGTTAACATATACACCTAAAAGTTAACATATACAGATAAGAGTTAACATGCTCACGTGAAAGTTAACATGTTCAGGTTAAAGACAATGTTTTTAAACATATACAGATAAGAGTTAACATGCTCACGTGAAAGTTAACATGTTCAGGTTAAAGACAATGTTTTTAGCTTAAATTTTAATTTTAATTACATTTTCACGTGAAAGTTAACATGTTCAGGTTAAAGACAATGTTTTTAGCTTAAATTTTAATTTTAATTACATTTTGTACGTTGGAGCATATTTCAGAATAAAAGGATAATCACGACATGATTAGACTTACAATCTTAGAACTTTCTGATTTTTCACATGTTAACATTACAGTTAGAACTTTAGTCTTTCAAACACATCGAACTTTAGTTCAAAAAAACTTGTTATGAAGAAAGTTAACATGATTTGTGAAAAAAGTTAACATGTAATAGTAAAAGTTAACATATTATGCTGAAAGTTAACATGTTCAGCTGAAAGTTAACATGTTACGATGAGAGTTAACATATAATGATGAAAGTTAACATGATTTATAAAGAAAGTTAACATGTTATTATGAAAGTTAATATGTAACAGTAAAAGTTAACATATTATGATGAACGTTAATATGTTCAGCTGAAAGTTAACATGTTATGAGGAGAGTTAATATATAATGATGAAAGTAAATATAATTTATGAAGAAAGTTAATATATAATGAGTTTAATAGTGCATCGTAACTTGAAGATTATGTACATGATTTATATATATTATGTACACAATAACCTTAAGATTGTGTACATATTATGTACCATAATATTCAGGTTTTGATACACATAATTTATATATAATCTTCAGTTTATTATGCACATCAAGTTTTATTTGAATGAAGTTGTACATATTCACAGACAGCCACAATACATTTCACATACAATCGTAATAAATTACACCAAATTTGATCACTAAATAGACACAATACATTTCATTAAATTTTGATCTAAGTACAACCAAACCACAAGAACAGTATAATCAACTAAATAATGAAACATGACACGCTACAAACAATTATGGATGCAACATAAGGATCATCAGTACAACAGTCTTAGAATTGAGTAGTAGCCACTAGAGGATGATTCGACATTCCACAACCATAAAAATTATAACCCACGTCTGAGATTGAGCCATCCTTTCCAATAAAACTATTTTTTCTCACCGAGACATTATATCAAACACCTTGTGTGCAAGTAATTCCCATCAGTTTGGGCTTCAAAGATCAATCGAAGGTCTTCCCAAATCGAGCCAATATCCCTATGCATCCCAATTCATCTCATATTCACAATCCTCGACATCCTTCTCTTTAGATGAAACTACCAAGTTCCTTCCAATCGATCTGATAGAATTCATGCATTCGCTCAACATCCTTCTCTTTAGATGAAACTACCAAGTTCCTTCCAATCGATCTGATAGAATTCATGCATTCGCTCAACCAGTTCCAACATCCAAAATCTGATAGAATTCATGCATTCGCTCAACCAGTTCCAACATCCAAAACCATTTGTTGGCCAAATGATGATCAAAACAAGAGTCATAATAAATTGACCTAGGTACCTGACATTACTAACCCCAATAAAAATCATAAACATTAGGAAGTAACTGAGAATGTAGCACGAGAGGATCATTCAAGTGAACAACATGTGTTGGAAGCCTCACCTTTACCACAAATAACATAAATTTTTTCATCAGTCTCAAATTTTGCTTAATTCCATCATGCAAGACGTCATTTCCCTTTCAATTCGAAATCAATAACCAAGAAGAAGAAGACGAAGAAGAAGAGAGAGAACCTCCTTCAAAGTCTCTTATAGATCTAAAAGAGAGAGAAGTTTCAGCTCAGAGCATATGTGGAGGTAGGGGTGAGAGCTCTGATGGCCGGCCCAGTCAAAGACCTTGAAGCGGAGGAGACGAAGGAGGTCGGGGACGGGGCCCAGGGAGGGGGCAGGGAGGAGGGGTGGGGGTGTGGGCCGGGGTCTGAAGAGGAGGAGAGAAGAGAGAGGTGAGAGGAGCAATTAGGGGAGAGAAGAGAGAGGGGAGAGGGGGAGAAGAAGAAGAAGAAAAGGGGAAGAGGTAATTTCGAAAAGTTTTTTCCTAGAAGAATGTGAAAGGGACCAGAACACACTTTGGGGGGCTGGAACACAAGGGAAAAACTATGAGGGGCTGGGTCACATCCCATTTATTTTTTTAAGGCCTAGAAACATTTTTCCCAAAATATAATTAGCAGAGACTATTTCGGGTGAACGGTAACAAAAAAGTCGGGATTTTTTTAATGTTTTATCCTTCCTTTTCGTATCTTTATGTATTCAAGCATCACTACTAGAAAATGGAGTATTGGCTACGGACATATAGCGACCGAAATTTCCGTCGCTATAATATGACATATAGCGACGGCAATTTCCGTCGCTATATTTCCGTAGGCAAACAAATATTTACCGACGGAAATTCTAGTTTTAGCGACCGAAATATTCCGTCGCTAAAATATTACCGACAATAGTCCAGTATGCAGTAGTGCATAAAGTTTGTGAGAGTGTGCATGATGTGCAAAAGATGATGATATAATTCTAATTAACGAATTAATGATGGAGCACTTGCCATCACATTCACAAGAGACAAAAAGATGATGATATAATTCTAATTAACGAATTAATGATGGAGCACTTGCCATCACATTCACAAGAGACAAGATAGAGGAGGGAAGCAGACAAAAAACGAATTAATGATGGAGCACTTGCCATCACATTCACAAGAGACAAGATAGAGGAGGGAAGCAGACAAAAGAAGCAAGAACATGTAGCCTAAAAATATCGTCAGGTGCATAATTATGTTCATTAATTATGTTCCTCAAACTACTTGACTACAAAATTAAGTCCTCTGCAAGAAGTATATTACTGTAGATCTATTTAATTAGCATGCATCAATACATCGAGAAACATTTTCGGAATTTTTTTTTATAAAAATAATAGCTATATTCTTAATCTTCTAGATTATTGAAAAAGTATCAAATAAAAGTTATAGCATGTAAAATAAATCTGAATAAAATAAACAATTAAATATGGCCTGATCGGGAGCAGTCGTGTAATCACTGCCCTAGAAGATTAAGGACCCGCCTATCGCCCTGGCGTAGATAATCCTCTCTCCCCTAGCGGTAAAAAACTCCGGAAGCGGCCGATCTCTGTACTATATATATATATATATATATATAGGGTTGGAAAGAGACGTTACAAGTACCGCAATTAATTCGATAACGTTCATCATAATTTTCCGTAACGTTCCCCAAATAATGTTTAGCCATTACGAATGTTTTAATTGCTAATTAAACCATGTTATAATTACAAATTTTATTACTATTCATGAAGGCAAAATTGCCTTTTTCCCAACAAAATATCCAACGATTAATGATTAAAAAATTCATTGTGATTAATAACTGATAAAAAAGGATTTTAAGTGGAAATCGTCGTTGCAAAGCATTTTTTAAAATTCTGGAATCAGATGCAGTACCTTCCCACCTAGGTAACACATAAGTGAATTTTAAGTCAAATGTGCAGGCAACCAACACATTTTGTGTTGGATGATCTTTCCTACCACGATATTTAGGAGCGTCGGTAGGAGAAACCTTTGATCGGATGTGTGTTCCATCTATTGCTCCAACACAATCCTGATAATATAGGGAGTAATTAGTTAAATTCTAATTTTAACAATCTATACAAAGATAAGAATTTGTGAAATTTATCATCACCTTGAAATACGGATCAAACTTTGGATTGTTGCGTATCTCTGAAGGAATTTGTGCTTCATTGGGTTGCACTAAAAATATCTCTTCCAACTCTATCATAGCTCTTAAAACATTATGAAAATGACGACTCACACTCTCTCCAGATCGTCCAAATATCTTACTAACCTCACGAGTAGTTACGTTGTGTCCCAACATATACAAAAATTTTGCAACTTGTTCCTCAATAGTAACTCTTTGAGTTCGTTTAAGCCCGCCATCTCTCTCCAATATTCCACATAATTGATGAAAAACCGGTGGATTCATTCGGATCATTTTCCTACATACAACCATTTGTGATAATATTTTTCGCACCATATTAGTTACTTCTCTACACTCGTAAGGTTCACTATTTAATCTCCTTCTATTTTCTCTTTGTTGAATGAACAAATAAGCAATCACACAGAATATATCCAATTGCACAATGACATGCATGTTAAAATTTGACCCATGCTTCATCCATTATCTATGTGAGGATATGGAAATAACACAATTAGGATAGAAAATTAAAAATCATTAATTATACACAAACTAATGATAAATTTAGAAGCTCTTATACTATACACAAATTAGTTTATTATGTAATTTCAATACTCTTTTATAACACTACTTGATCTGTAATGTAAATTTCAATACTCTTTTATAACACATGTAGCCATTTGCTCTCTCTAGCAATGTTGCACTGAAGCCAATTGATATAGATTCAAAGTAAAATAACCAAAATCCCCTAAAAAAATCCACAGAACAAGAAGAAATCAGAGGGAAATTGAGCTCATCAATGGCGAATTCCTGTTGCATCTCGGCGTCAACTGCAACATCAAATTCCCCTCTCAAAACCCCCTTCAAAGCCTCAGCCATAAACTTCAATCCATCTGCCTCCTCCCTCCCTCCTCCAGGAAACTAGCTTCAACCATCGGAATAGCGTATTCGAGCCCTCGCTGGACCTCGCGGCCCAATCAAAGGACGGGGCTTTGGTCAATTAGGTAAGCACTCGCTCAGATTTGTGAAAACCCTAGAAAATTTGTGGTGTTTTTGTAATTTTCGGATTGTTTGGTAGGGATTTGGTCAATTAGATAAGCAGCAGCTCAGGTTTGTGAAAAAACCCTAACTCCCTCAAAAAGGAATTAGATAAGCAGCAGCTCAGGTTTGTGAAAAAACCCTAACTCCCTCAAAAAGGACTTATCCTAATTTTCCAGAAAAAATTGCAACTTTGAATAAAAAAAATCAGAAACTGAGAAGAAAGAGAGAGGGATGGTTGCTTACTTGAAGGAGGATGTCGGCGATAGGAATCGAGTAGAGAACTCCGACGAGGTGAAGAAGACAAGGATGCGGGGGGAAAGAGACCGCCGACGACGCGCGGGGAAGAGCGCGGGAGGAAGAGCGCGCGAAGGTTGCTGCAGAAAATGGAAAAGAGATGGGAGAGTAGGGTTTACATCACAACCCTCGATTTATTTTGTTGATGAAGGGCAATATCAACATATCAAATTGCTGTGAGTTTTCCCAGTTTTGTTCCCCTCCTCTACCACCCAAATGGGGGGGAACAATTTCCCCTCCATTTTTCCTTCCTCCCCCTTTCCTTTCCCCTTCCTCACCCTTCTCTACCCCTTTAAGAAAACTCCCAAACAAAGTGAAAATAATTTTCTCTTCCCCTCCCCCTCTCTACCCTACATAAGTGAACTCCCAAACATAGCATAAAGGCTAAATGCACCTAAATACCTTCCTTAAAAATCAATCACAGCATAGTCAGCCCAGAGAACCTCGAAGATCCCATGCTTTAGCTAAGTTTCAGCTGATGAATAAGCACAGCAAGAGTACATATATTTGCCCGCACAAAAACACTCATACTTTCCTCACGGACCATAAACAAGCAAACCGTATGACATGCATCTGAGCCTTCTACAGTTATCCATGAGATCATCAAAAATTTCATCAGACGATAATAATAAGTCACCAGGACATACAAAATACTAAGTCTTCAACTGTTTAGAGATAAGAAAAAGAAGACAATTGTGCAAGAAGTTTTAGCTTAACAGGATCAAATCCCACAAATACAAATAAATCAAAAGCCTATGCTGCTCTGCCTGACAGTCTCAAAGCATGATCATGTTTAAGATGAAGTCGCTGCAACCCTCTTCTTCGGAGCTGCTTCAGATCCTGCAGAAAAGAAAATAGAATAAGATATTAGTACCTGACATTCTACCATAAGATACACAAACTCTAATTGAAATAAAAACTACCAATTCTAAGATGGCATATATGATATAGTGCCTTTAAGAATATGATGCAGTGAATCAAAAGATTAGGGTATGGTCACTAACAAGGTGCCATATTTGAGCCAGTGAACTTGCAGAACTTTTGGTGACAGAATTATTGGGTAACGAAATCACTTCATTCAACAATTATCGCACACTAGTGTATGTCATTGGATCCTGATTCTGAAACTGGATGATTACACAGGTTCAAAGGAAGTATAAAATCAAACAGAAGGCAGGATAAACCCAACCCAAAAAATAATGGGTTTAAGATATATTACCTAGAAACATTTATTATTTCAGATGTAGATACAAACTGCTCAAATACCTCAAGTTTCCAAATAACCAAAACTGGTTAGAAAGTTAAAAAGCTAAAAGAGAGATTCCCTATATATAACATCTTGCTGTTGTAGAAATAATTGGAAAATTTGCGAGGCACATTGCTATACCAATTTAGATAAAATTGCTGCAGATATAAGAAAAACTTAAAAAAACCAATAATCATATAATATCAACAGCTGGGTCGTGAAGCTGCTGGTTCTAACCTGAACAACACCGCCACAAAGAATAAGTGCCATGAGTGGAAGAAAGAAAACAAAAGAGGCATAGGGAGAGTGCAGGAGTACCTTCTCTGAAGTTGCTCTTGAACCTGCGAGGCACATGACGAAGATACCTCATCCTACCAGTGCCTGTGGTCTTTCTCCTGATGGCCTTGACACTCCAGTTATCTGTTTCATGTTTGTGTCAGAGACAATGATAGCTAAAAGCATAAAACTGATGATTGTAGAAAAGGAATGCCAAGTCACTACATAGTAAATATTACTACATAGATTATCAAGAAATTATTGGAAGTGTAGAAAATAATATGCTGCCTTAAATTTGCAAAAGGGTGCTCGTGGAGATGGGGGAGGGTGGACCAATCTAAATGCATCATATAATGCAAATAAATATGAACTTAGCAAGAAAAAAAATGATTTGAAGGAATTTAAAACACAAATGAAGGGAAAAGTGAACACCAAAATGCTACTTAACCATGGGATAATAGGAGGGCTAGCAGAAATTAGACTTTCCTAACTTGCCAAATAAGAAAATGAACCAAATTAGGGAGATTTAACCTGTTTTTAACCTTTCAAATACAAAAAATAATGCAATGGTTGAGATAAACCACCCACGCGAGGTAAGACTTGTGACGAGTAACTACAAAAGATGATATTTAAACCATGAACTCGCATTGCAAAGTGTTAATGACTAAATAAGCTACTCTTAGCTCATAACTTTTCTTGCAATAGAACCTTATAAACAGCTTCTTGTGAAGCACAAGTTTTTTGCTAAAAAGTTAAGATAATGATATAGAGAAGATTATGCAGGTACCCATGTGAATATGGGCCCCAATTTCAATAAGTGGAGGGGAATATGCCACCTCACTACCAATCATAAAAAGTTGTGTTTGGTACCAAGCATACCCATTTTTCTCATATATATATATATATATGCGCGCTTGCGTGCACACATGTGTATGTATGTATGCGTGTGTATTGAAATTAATAATTCACATGAGATCATTATTTGTTTTCATTTCATGTGTTATTAGAATTACACTTCCTATCACATTTCTAAGCTTCTTTTAGAATGTTGATAATTATAATTACATCCAAATGACCTTTTCATATTTTTGGATGTTGGTACAGTCTGCAACAAACTCCACCTATGTTTGAGTTTGAAAAAATGGCTGTGAAATGTAGGATTGAAAAAATGGCTGTGAAATGTAGGATTTACGTCCAAGAAGCGTATGACAAGTGTTTTAAAATTAAAAGAAGTGTATGACTAGTGTCTTAAAATTAAAACATTTGCCATGTAATTCAGTACATGTCTGAATAAATGTTTGCATATATCCAAGGGGTGTCTAAGAACTTTGGGTATAGGGGTGTGTTGGGCACGTGTCAGGTACGGGTACAGCTTCATGATAGAAGCACCCGGGTAACATGGCAATCTTAGTGACCAACATGTGTGAAAACACTAGGATGAGCGTTCATAGTAATTAAAAAAGCATAAAGGATAAAGAGGAAGGGAGTGTATGCCTGACATGCTCAACTACAACAAATATCAGTAATTAACACCTAAATCAAGAACAGAAATAGGGAAAGTAGAGAGAAAAAAAGCTAGTGTGTGAGGCTATAAACCCCTATAACTTCCATGAAAATCATTAATGAAAGTTCAAAGTGTTTTGGAATTTAATTGACTTTCCGGACACACAAAACAATCCAACCAGTTCAATGACATTGATCTGTCAGCCAGCTTCTGGCAATAACCGTGACAGGGCCATGAGAGGAGGTGCTGGATTTGGGAATCATTTGGTGATGATATATTTAGAGGGTACAATAAAATCACCAATCTAATTGAAGAAGAAGTAATAGTCGAAACATGAGCAGACCAACTCATAAAACGATGAATGTTTTGTGGCAGCAAGAATGAATAGGAAATTAAAACTCAGTAACGCAGAGAAGTATGGCTATCCAAAGATACCCCACACTCATCAATGAATCAAAACTCTCTACTCTCTAGGATAACAAAAGCTAAGCGCAGCATTTGCTTACCACAACAGCAAGCCAGTGAATCAAACAAAATCCATAATCATGCAATCCTTGACATAAGCTTAACTTACTGGGAAACTAATCATTCATCCAACTACCCACCATTCAATCTTTCAGTTTCAAAGTTTAAATACTGCGCTCCCTAAAACTAATTCACATTACCAACAAATTATTCAGATTTGGACACAAGTGAAATGAAAGAAATACTTCATCTTTATCCTGCGACATCGCCAAAAAAGAATAAAAATCAAAACTTTAAAGGGGCAATGGGCTCACATTTGCGGATTCGGGCGGCGGGAAACCCGCAGGATCCGCACCGGCTCTTCTGGAGGTGGAAGCTCCGGCGACCACAGCGGACGCAGAGAGTGTGAGTCTTGTTCCTGCGCTTACCAAAGCTCCCTGTTCCCTTTCCCTGCGCTTACCAAAGTATTAGGGTTAGGGTTTTACACAATTTTGGCAGGACCCGAGATGAAATTAGGGTAAGGGTTACCATTTCTTGACGGAGATCG